ATTAGCGGGAACATGGACCTCGAAAGCCGCGCTGTTGCTCCTCGCTGGTTTTGGAATAGCTCGTTTTTTGTCTATCCGAAGTGCTAGCTTTACTTTCTGCTCAGGTCGCGGTCCTCTGTCTACTATAGTATGCTTCGGGCTCAATTGGGTTTGTTCCACTCTTCGTCTGTCTCAGGGAGGGTCGGGAAGTGACTCACAATTCTGAAAATACCCTCACCTGAGAGGTCCCCTTGCAGGCGAAGGGAAAGAAAATGATCGTGCTCTATTACCTGGAATCCATGGACTCGCCGCTACCGGTGGGCATTCTGTTCCCCAGCGTCCCCCTTTAGATCTGCTGTTTTTCTCCTAATTTGCATTGCTGTTAATCTGGGATGGCTTATAACCTGCGTTGGGGGATAAACTCGAACCAGTCAAACACGCACTCGATTTCCTATAGCGACATCTCAACCCATCCTTGCAATGCCTGGTATGTGGCCACCTGAGCTCATTTCTCGTATGGCTCCAGGCTCACGGTCCCGTTATCCTCCATCAGAATACCGCAACGCGCTCAACAATTGGGGTGCTCAGACTGGAAGAAGCATTTCTTATAGCCAGCCTGTTGCGTCTGGCGCTCAGCACGGCCAGAGCTGGTCGATTACTGTCTATGGTACGCCATTCTATTCTTCATGCTCAGATCACCATTTGAAAGTACTTGAGTCGATAACGTCGAGGCTGGAAGGGGCGTCGGAACGACCGTCGCAGCAGCAAAGGAAATGGCGGCATACAATGCGCTGGTGGCGTGCCGCGTCATTCAAGGGTAGAATGGGACTGTCTCGAACGTGAAGTGTCCAGTCAACGGACCTGCTTTGGCTTTCGCTCTCTGGTATTCATTGATCCCGTCTCGACAGTGTATCGCTAGCTTTAGAACCGTTGTATTAACCATGTCTCCTTACATACTTTAAAGACCTTCTAATATCTGTCTATAATTTGTACAACCCATGCTAGCGAGCGCCGAATACTATTCGCTAGCCTTGATAAACCAATCCCGTATAGATATCCCACATTCGCGCCTCCTCTTCTTCCGCCAGCAACTTCGACGTTCCGAGGTGCAAGTCGACTTCCTTCATATCGAAGGCCTGTTCCGTAGGGGTACCAGGTCCATCTGAATCCGGGGTCGATGCTCCAGACCGCCTCTCCTCACATATGGACGGAAGTCGCGTTGGGGCGCGTTCTTTCGTTACAAGCACGGGCGATGCGATTTCGGCGAATGGATTCGAAAAGAAATTCACAAAGAACTTTCGCCATTTGGTCTGACGAGGTACAAAGTGTCCTGACCAAGGTTGGTTAACATGGAGATTCACGAGGGTTGAAATTCATACCCCCAATGTGCTCTTCGACGCGCTTGTTCTTGTGGAGTGACATGAATATGTCCGCTCTTTCTCTCGGAACGACAAGGTCTGTGTTACCCAGGACGTGGAGTACTGGTGTGGTGAGCTCGCTCGAAGGGAAGGCTGGGCTAACGGGTTGGCCGTCCCATGCAGCTGATGGTCCACGAAGGAGGAATCCAGAGACAGTGACGATGTACTCCCTTCAAATCAGAATGTTAAATCTAAAGCAATACATAGGACCGCAATAGTGAACAACGTACATGGGAGGATGAACCGCAGCACCATTGTCGTCTGCGATTAATGGGTAGAGGTCCGGGCGTTCCAACTACGAAACCATGAGACATCTATGCAGATATAAGGTTGTCTTGGGCAATACCATCGCAGCTAGCAGTTCGGCCATCGCGGCGCCTTGGCTAAATCCCATGATTGCCTGGAAGGTCAAACAACAGTTACTACGTCTAGTAAGCTCATGAAACGAAGTACCACCCACCTCAAAACGGTTCTCCTTTAACGTTTTCTTTAGTAGCGCTAGAGAGGTTTCTATGCCCTCCATTGTGTTGCCTCCGAAGTTCACGATCGTGAACCAGCCCTCGGAGAGTCACTGGCAGAAGGCGTTGGCGACGGTACATCGCAAACACAAGCGCCTTGGGTGGGGACGGCAAGGAGGCGTGAACCGCATTCAGGTCCGCAGGTACGAGTGAGAATGGGGCATCGAGATACTCTATCACAGGTTGAGCAGACGAACACGAAGTAGAGACGCGTTCAAGACACGCACGGAATTCAACGTCATCGGCGGCAAGGTCCTTGGTGATTGAGGCCATCTGGCAAGTGCTTTAGCGCTATCTAGGTGATTCCAAAACCACTTAGACACGTACATAGCGACTCATGATGTAGGCATTTTGACCGTAGCTGATTGTTGGGCCCGATGAGTGGTCAGACGCTGAGTATTACAGAGATTTCGTACCCGTGGAGCATGAGGATTTTTCGCGAGGACATGTTGAAGAATTCTGGGGGCGATATACGAAAGGAGGATATCTGTTTCTGTTCAGATGAGACGAAGGGAGGCCATTAAATATACCAGAGCGTGTAACGTAACAACCCAGGACTGCACATCGGATCAGTGATATCACGAACGAAAAGAAACAGCTATTTTAGTGATTTGCGCCTGGAAACAGCAATCCGAATTGCAGGAGGACCTGGTTCCTGTCAGTCGATGCATACTTGGAAAGAGCGTGCATGAAAGTCACCGAGTAATTGAGACAGGACGTGGAACTCACTGCATGGCTATTTCACTAAGTTAAGTCCAAAGATTGCGCCATGCGAAAATAGACTCAGAGTAGCATTTGCAGCGAGGTAGACCGGTCAAGAGCGGCCGCAAGACATCCCATCTGCAGAGCGTCGTCAGGATCACGTCTGCGTTGAAGAATTGTTTTTAGAGCGTTAGTAATGGCCCAGAATCAGGAAAGCAGGAACGAAGTCAAAGTAAAAGAACTCGTTTACGCGCTTGCTGCTAGAAACACGCCGTGCCATGACGCGACCTGTTGACGAAACCATAGCCTGTATGCCCAGGAACACATCCAGCGTCTGGTTCAGGCATCCCGCCCACCGCCGCTCACCCAACCCACTGTCCGATCCCGATCCGACACGGATTCGGGCCGTTTGGGTATTACTGCACTGGAAAAGATGTAAGAATGTTTTTACCTGAGCCTCAAACAGTGATATCGCAAAAAACTCGCCTGTACCCATCTACATGTGCGAAAGAAAACTGCGATAGTTGATGATCATGATGGCAGAGAAGAAAAGCGCAACCCTTCGGCGTCAATAGACCGCCGATCATCTACTTGTTTTCCGCCATCACGTCACTATTGGCCCGTCGAAGGCAGAGTGAAACATCTTGTTTACCGAGGCATCTTTTGCCCTTTTGCCTGTCTCTGATTGCCTTCGTAGGTCATAAAAGGCCTGGGTCCTATCCGGCGACACGAACTGAGCGCCCATGCACTGCCTTGAATTCTTCAATCAAGGTACACCGTTCAGGTGGTACTTCTGAGCGTCACGATCCTCTAGGCTGTGTGGGTTTTCCCGAGCTTCCAGCGAGCTATATGAACGCCTGCGCGCGACTGCGTTGCTCGCTTCCTCTTGTCATGGACAGCACTCTTACGCTCGTGAATCCGTCACGCCCACCATGCTTCACTTCGACAACAAGAGTGTCATCAATACCACCGTCTCATACCCTGACGGTCAAATCGCGTATCGTATCTCCACAAAGCGGGACAACCGCGTCGAAGATACAAGTCGCTAGAGGAGAAGAAGTAGTTATCGTCATAGAAGAGAATGAGGTGTTCGCGGATACGGTGACGATCAGAGGTACCAAGATGAAGATTAAGAAATGGTTACAGGAACAGCGCGTTGGTGACATGTAAGTGTCCATCTTTGGCATTCCCTGCTCTGAACCTTTCGCGTTAGAAATGCGAAACTGATTGATACACGATATGGACGTTTCCTATGGCGTATTCATCCTCAGTATCGTCTATCGGTATGCTAAAGTCGCGTTGTTTCCCTGGGTACTGATATGATTGGCTATGTGAAGCTTTCCCGCGAAGACGACCCGCATCTCGTCTCCTCCAATCCTCTTGCATATGTGGACACACAGGCCCCGGGACCAGGCTTGACACTAGTCATCTCAAGCGAAGCTACTCCCTTCACAGAAGAGATCCTCGCCTCGTTCGTCATCCAGGAGCTGGCTCTAGAAAGGCAGGAGAAAATATGTGGCGTTGCTTACGGAGTCGCCTACAATAGCTCAATACCTTTCTAATGTATGCAAAGTCAAGTGAAAATGTTCTGATATGGTTTGTTTCTAGACAGTACGTACTCAAAGCGATGTAGTAGTAGCACACGTTCAGGTCTCAGCTGATACTATGCAGTCGTGAAAGGACATCGTCACCCGACTGGTCCGCGATCACATCCAAGAGTTCCTGGGGTGATGCTGATTACCGGGAGTTAGTATTTGATTAGACTCGATGCCAGTCGCTTCACCAACCCGATCCGTCCTCATCCCCTCAAAAAAACCGGCGTTGAGCGGCTGGTTCGAGACTAGTATTTGATTGAGCGGAACGTTCTGGGTGAAGCATTTACTAGAGACGACAAGCAATACACAGGTCAAGGCGGAACAATACATTAACTTTCAATTCCGCGAGTTACACAGACTGCCCGGCCGTGGCAGAATGCGCATCACGTCAGGTAAGAGCAACATTGTGGCGATTCGCGAAAAGGAGAGCTGAATCGATCGAGACTCCATAAGGGCAAACAAACGCGTTCAAGTTCATCATTCAACTGTTACGTTGATCTATCATTTTATTCACTGGCGTCTGGTGTCTTCTTCAAATCATATACAGAAATCGCCTCTCAATGGTGCCTACAGTATCTGACGAACGCGCCTGCCTCAGAGTCGCCGCAGCTTGAACCATCAGATCAAACTTTGAGTCCTAGGATTCTCGTCTTTCGGCATTGAGTCACTACACATCTTTTATTAATGTCAATCTCCTGTAGACTATACTACTACTATTATTAGTGGTAGTAGTAGCAGTAAGTACATTGAATTGCGCCACATCAAAGACCGTATGAGGGCTGTGTTACACACCGATGGTGAAGCGGTTATCATGCTTGCCTTCCATAACCAAGATGTTGCGTGAAGCAAGCGGCAGGGGTTCGACTCCCCTTCGGTGTATGGTGTCGCTCTGTGACTTTTTTTTCCCGCGCGCATAGGTATCCGTACCTGCCAGATATTAAGTTTACATTATCATGGTTGAATAGGTCTAAGATCAATCGTTGTAGTTTTCTCAAGGGAATTCTATTGGATGGAGGACATCTGCTACCTAGAGCGATGAAAGCAATGGTGTACATGAAGGCCCACGAGTAGTTGATGGACACCCGAAACATACCATGCACGCATCCTCGGACACATTGAAAACAAGATCCCATCCTCAAAAACCACTACCACCCAAATATCAAATCCGAAACCTGCCCAAGGACACCTTTATTCGGACTCTCGCCCGCCACCACAGCCGGCTGCGCCCTCACAGGCGTCCCCGCCGCCGCCTTGGCCGGCCTAAAAATCGACGAACTCGGCGCCAGCTGAATCGGCGTGCCGACACTCCCCGGCGCATCCACGTCCATATTGTCCGCCTCGTCGTGTACGCTCTGATGCTGCCTGTACGCTCCTAGCGAAGCAGACTGCGGTGGCGACGATATATTCGCAGAAGCATCTGCCCATTTCACACCAATCATCCACCCGCCTGCACCGCCGCCCCCGCGGATGACGTCCCCGTTCTTGCGTAGTGCCCGCACGGCGTCAGCGGGGTTGGTATACCCGAGCTTGAACGCGTTGCCGACATCGTAGAGAGACTCGGGCTGGGTGGTGCCCGCGCTAGAAGGGGCGTTGGTCGACATGGAGTATTCGGAGGAGAGGGAGAGAAAAAAGTCGAGGGTTGGTGCGTATTTGTCAGGCGGGTACCCGAACACGATGATATATGACGGGTCAGGGGACGACGAGGTACTCGTGGTGCGGTGTGTAGGCGGGGAGCGGTGTGAGAGAAGAAGAGAGGACGAGGTGAGCCGTGAGGAAGAGGCGCCAGTGGCGCTGGGTATATCGTTAACGCTCATCATCGGCGGCGCATCCTCGTCTTCCGCACGCACGCCCGCATAGTCAAACATGCTGTCCATACCCCAGCGGCTCCCGCCCTTCCGGTCATCCAGCTTGCTGCTGTTCATTTTCGCTTTGGTGGATACCGTCGGTAGTGGCTCGTCAGACTCTTGCGGCCCGCCAGATGATAGGCTCGTCCCCATCATGTACCCGCTTTGGTATCCTTTGGACCCGACGCCGCCGCCCGTGGAGGTGTTTAGCGTGTTCAGCGTGTTCGTTGATGAGGTCGACGACGAGAGCAGCGTCGATGACGAGGGCATTCCCGCCACGGAGAAACCTAACGGCTGCTGGTGATGCTGGCTCGCGTACATTCTGGTGGCAAACGTGATGGTGGAAGACAAAAGACGTGTTGGCCTGCAGACAAAATGTGAAGCCGATGGCAAACAACGCGTCAACAACAAAATTCGGGTTAGGGTTCTCCTGTTGCTACTGCAGACATCGTGCACCAATTGCGAGCATACCTCGATTCTCCTGTTATGCAAAAGCCGGTTGTTCGAGATCTTCTTTTTTTTCTGCCACTCTAGCCCTACAAAGCTTTACATATGTGATGTATGATCAAAACCAATGCTTAAAGTGTCAACGTCCGGCCGCAGCTTTCATGTCCTTTCGATGAACATGCTACCTGTCACTTCTCTCGCACCGCCAGCTCCTCTACACAGCCCGAAATCATCTCTTGACGTCAGTGCAGTATTATCGGGACAGCCACATGCCAGCGGTTGTATGATTCCAGGACTTCCGACTACAGCGGTGCCACAGCGCTGAGAACTTCTTGCTGCACACGTGGTCAACGCATGTCGGAAACATGTCGACCTTTCCTTCTTCCTTCCTTCCACAGTCACCTTTGCCGCCATGTATCGACACTTCGCTTCAAGACCGCACCGCAAGTCTCCATCTGTCCTTCTGGCGGCGGCGGCGAGCACCATTGGACTTGTTAAGGCAAGTCGCAGCTATAGTTTAGTATGGCCCGTAGCTCATTTCGAACCTGCTGCTTCAGATACCCACCACTTCCGCGCCGCTGGCCCTTACCCCAAAGCGTACATCCTTTCCCTCAGGAAACCACAAGAAGTTAGAGGTCGTCCTTGCCGTTGTGGCGGACGCAATTAGGGTTCTTGAGGTGAGCTACGCGCAAGCATACGAACCCGCGACTCATCCCTAGCTCCTCCTGCAGAAAGTAGCAGATTCCGTGCCATTTCTCTCGGTGGCGACTGGAATCACGCTTATGATCATCGACAAGCTACTCGCCATTAACGATAATAGAGAAGAATGCAGCGCCACTGCGCAGCGTATCGCGCAAGTCTTCCTGGCAATCGCCAAAACTTTTCGACATGTTAATCAGAACGATATCCCCCCGGTAACATTAGACAGTATTCGCGACCTGCAGAGGTGCTCCTGTTCGCAGTACATGCTTCGAAATGGTATTGACAGCTCCTAGTCGTCTGAACGAATTTCTGGGCGACGTCGAGGAAATAGCAGCTGCGTCTGAACGCAAGCGTTATTTTCTTCCCGAGCGCATTAAATCCGACCTCAGAGATCTGAACTCAAAAATCGACGACAGCCTTCGGTTATCTCAAGTGCGTTCACCGTCGTCCTCATTGTCAGTATCGGTCGTTGACAGTCACATCGCAGCTTTCATCTACTTTCGCAATCCAGGCTCAAACTGAGCGTTTATCGTGTACTGCCCAAATAGCTGACGCCAACGCACCAGGAATTCCGGAGGTGAAGGATCCATCGTCGCCTGTTCACACAATCCCAATAACGCCTTCAAGATAACAAGAGAGGAATTGGACGAGAACGACATTCTACGTTCCCAAACAATATTCGAGGTCTATCAAGCGTCATATGGAAGCAAGGTGGTTTCGGTGAAATGTTTCAAAGGCCGTAGCGCCAAAAAGGTGTGTCAAGTCACATTTCGGATTGAGGTTCAACTAACTTGCATGGTATCAGCACTGGGCTCGGTATCTGGAGTATGACAGTCGCGATATGTGCGTTTAGTTTCTACGTAGCCGTGTTTTACAGTACGGTCTCACTAGAAAGCGCAAGTCATCCCAACATAGGAAAGGTGATCGGCAAATCCTCTCCATTGGAGCGCGCGCCCTACATCGTTTATGGTGTGCCTTACCCTTCTTCAGTCCTACCTGAGTTCTCATTGTTGTTTGTAGCTGGTATCGAAGGCTGTCTTGAACAACGATTGGCGAAATCATTGAAGTCTGGCGTGGACGTTACTATTGTTCGCTCGTGTGTTACATTTGTAAGGTCTTCCTCGAATGCTATAGCATTCCTGATCATTCAAGCTAGATCTATGGACTCTCTGTACGATGTTCCTCGTCCCTCTAAACTTACACTGACATTGTCTGTAGGCAGGTGTCCTTCACTTGCATGATCAAGGCATCCCACTTACCACACTCGGAGCTGATGTGAGTCATATTGTTAGCTAGTAGTTGCTACGATTGCAGTATTCATCAGGTTCGAAGAACATACACGTTTTCTTGGGGACCAAGTCGAGGACTATACTCAGCATCGACTGGCCAGAAGCTGTCGACGTCGATAAATTAGAATCGAGCAACCAGCGCCGAT